TTTGAAGGCAATATCTTATGATTAAAGCTAATTTATTCAACATTTGGCGGGCGGGGGTTGAATTGAGAAATCTTTGCCTGACTTCCTACACAGGTATTTCCCGTGTTTCTCTAGACCATCTTTGTTCATTACGGTATCAACCACCCACATGTGGTTATTAAGCACTTAAACTCTTTGACTAAGCAAAAAAAGAACAAACAGATTTTAATTTCATTTAACTTTAATTCATTATAGGCTGGAACTGGCGGCTGAGGCTGTTGTTCAGTGGTATAGCATGTGCTTAAGGCCCTGCTGGCTTCAATCCTCAGCACAAAAACAAAAAGCTGATGCCTTCTCAACTAGTAAGAAAAGCTTAAGTATGTTGCAAAGAGCTTAGGTGTGAGGATCTGCTTTTTCAACTAAATTTTAGGGAATCTTAATAGCTCAAGTTATTTTAGATGAAAATTATCATGTGAATTGAAATGCTGTTAAGTGTAAGATTCACGTCAGATTTTGAAGACTTAAACAAAAGGGAATGTTAAGTGTCCTGTTAATATTTTATATTGATTATATGTTGAAATGATAATAATGTAGATATATTGAGTTAAATAGAGTATTAAAATTAATTTCACCTGTTCCCTTTTACTTTTTTCATGCCATTAGAAAATTTTAAATTATGTACATGTATTTTTATTGAATAGTGCTTTTCCAGAGTTTTTATTGTTTTGGCACTTCCATTTAGTTCTATGATCCATTTTGAGTTAAAAGTCCCCTTTAACCTCAGTATTTTACTTCTCTTCATGGAAGCTAAAAGTCTGATGACTGTAATAAGCAAGACTGACAAAAGCTTAAGTTAAAAAATAATTTTGTCAGCTCTAACATGTACATTAATATGTATCAAGATTTATCACAAAAATATAGCTCAGTTGTATCTAGATTGAAATGTAATAAAAGGGGTTCGGCTACAAAAATAATTTTTTCAAGTACTCGGCTAGTGTACACATTGCTCAGGGGGTAGATTGCTTGTGAAAGCATGAGAAAGCCCTGGGTTCCATCTCCAGCACCACAAGGGGAGGGAGGCGTGCTTCTCAAAGATGTGGAAATGATCGTCAGTAGTCTTAATTGACTGGTTGAATGCCTACTTCCCTGTCTCTTCTCAGCACCATTCCATGCCAGTATTCCAACAGTATAGCAGGGCTACAAAATGAAAAGTTACAACTATGGCTAGAAATCCCTATAGCCACTTTCATTGATAGGATTCTTGGATTATTTCCTAACCATCATCTCCAAATTACATATCATAGATTTTTTTATTATTCCTAATATGCTAACAATAATTTGAGGAAGCACTTAAGACGTGTGGTTTAAGTACAAGTTGAGTTGTTATTAACTGTGTGATCTTTGATCTTTACTATGGAGATAGTATCAGTAGTCCAGCTTTTGGGAAAAAACAATTGAAGAGTTCGAAATATTTGCCAAGCACTAGTAAAGGTAATTCACAAATTAAAATCTCAGTTCCTGTTCCATTCTGAGCTAGGATATGCTTTTATTTTTGGAACTCCTTTTTTAGTGTCAATATTGATAGGAATTTTGTGAATATGTAAATTTATAAATTTAGTTACATTAATAAAGCATTCTTGATAATTAGGTAATTATCAGTATTATTAGTATTTTTTAAATAGAATCATAGTGAACCTTGGTGGAGATGGGTTCTACCTGTCTTTGTAAGATGAAAGAAAGCATCACAGTGTTTATTAAAAGTGATAGCACAGGGATTGAGGAGAAAGATCAGTCATAGAGCATATTAATCACGTGTTTAATACCCAGCGTGTACTTGAACTCGTATGTGAACATACTCATATATAATCTGTATCATTCAAACTAAAAATCATAGAGTTTTCTTCATTCCTTTCCTGTTCATTCCTTTCCATGTCTTGTTGGTTTCATCCTTATGAGATACCATTCTCACTTCACTTCATCTCTGTGGCCACATCAGTAGTTCTAATTTTTTTTTTTTTTT